GCTAAAATAAAGCAATTTGTGATATTTTGAATCGATTTGGGTCAATTTTAAGTTGGGAATCAAGCTAAATCAAAGTATTTCAACCAAATACTGGCTCTAATAAGAGTTTTCTTCTAAAATAAAGCARTTTGAGCTATTTTCTACAGGCCAAGTAACTAACTATAAGCAATAAAAAAATTATTGTTTCATTGGCTAAATAAGAAATAATTGTAATCCATATTAATTTGTTTCTCTTATATTTTTTTATATAAGCAACAACTTATCACTGCGGTATTACTAGTTGCATACGCTATAATGTTGTATTTTAGTAGTAATTTTTTATTAGGTATTATCTGTTTTTGCATAATATTGAAAATAGGATAATTTGTGAAAGCGTACAATATGTATATTAAATAAAAGTTTGGTAAAAAATGTTTCTAACTACATTTTTTTTTGTTAATTTTTCATTAGGTTTATAAGCGTCACTACTGTCATTCTTTAACAATTTTTTTGCGTTTCGTACCTAGCAATTTTTTTCCACGGCATATTAAATAAAACGTTTGCAAATAATAATTTTATTATTAACAATTCAATGGAATTTTGTTAATTGGTTTAAAAAATGTAGAAAACCTATATTAACTTAACAAAAGTGGAGCTTTTGGTAATAATAAAAAGAARCTGTATATTATTGTTATATTTTGGARGCATTAGTCTTAAATTTTTACTTTTTATTTGCTTATTTTTGAATTATGAAATGATGTATTATTAAATCTAGTCATCAGTTATTCTGATGTGTTGATTAAATCATCACCACTTGCAAGGGCCCTCCTCCTCTCAATCTATTTCGTCATTAGCCAGCTTCACCATTGCTCCAGCTCTCTCCACTGATCCTCGTCTCTGATTCGTCGCCGCGTGGGATAAACCCAGATCTGGACCAGTAGAAAAGATGCTGTGGAATTAGAGCGGTGCTCCGCCTCTCCCGGCCCGTCCAATGGCCGCTCTTACATCACCATCAAGGTTGCGAGCTGTGCATTCGATGCCAACGTGATTGCACCAAATTCTCCAAATTGAAAAAATTCCAATCGCTTAACTATCTCTCTCAGCAGGAATGCGCGTAACGGAGAATCATCGTCGGCGTCCCTTCTATGGATCGTGCAGGACGACGAGACGCGCATGCTGATGAAGCTCTCGATTTTCCAGAGTTCATCACACGAATCATAAATTAACACCAAATTAAACGCATCATTGTCTTGACTCTAAATACGACGAGTATGACCGCAAATTTCTCTTTTCTCTCGTTGGAGAGGCTCAGAGGCAGGAATGCTTGCTTGCTTGGCCAAGATACCTGCACGTCCACCGAGCGGTCGATCTCTCCCAGGCCTCTGCATATTGATTAGTTCTGCTCGGGTCAACGCAGCTCCCATCTAGGACGAGGCTTGGGATTTCAAGGATACAACCAGGACCAAAACAAGGCAATTAGGGGGGCGTTTAGCGGAATTTTCCACGGGCTTTTGTGGGTTCTAGGGCTGGATTTTGGGTCGGGCCCAAAAAAGGCGACAATAATCGAGGCTTAAATGTATTAAATTTCAAAGAAAAGTTAAAGAAAAATTTACAAATTTGACTCGCTTTTAGCATAAATATCAGCATTATTGTACAATTGGACAAAATCTACCTATATTTACTTCGTTCTTTTAATTTAAGAATGAGTAAAAAAATGCAATTGTTGTGAAATAACACTAATAAAAAATAAAATATCCAGTGAGGTGCCTGTATGCACGTCGTCAATGACTCTCCAAAACCTTGAAATTTTATGAAAATACCTCAAGTGCGTTCACTTGGTAGAAAAAAAAAGAAAACACCCTGTATGTATAGTAAAAAATGTGTCTTTGTTCCGATTTATTATAGGTATAGAACATTAAAAAAACAGAAATGTAAAAACTTGACATAAAAACGTTTACTATATTTATATTTATAAGACACCTTGTAGAGAAGTTTAAAGAATCGCTTCAAAACATATTTTTTGCAAGGTTGGTAWGATGTAACTCATTGAATTATGATTCAAAAGATTTGCTAAAAAATGTCTCAATTTTTTTCTCAAAATTACACTCCCCTTTTGTGATTTATTGTGTACCTACTTACCTGATGTACCTACGGAGTCCTAGAAATTACAATTTAAATATTTTTATAAAAGAATTTCTCATTGTTATCAAAAATAGATTATCCGCCACTTAATTAAAATTTAAAACACTCAAAATTACACTTTATTATTAAAAGTAAGGTAAACTAGACAATACCTAGAGGGTGAGTTTGTCAAGAGTATATATTTTAACATTATATCATCAACAGCGTTTGCTATTAAATACTTTATTTTTTTCTCTAGATGTAAATTTCTTCACATTTTTTCAACTATATTTTTTAACCTTATAAATAGATATTATTATTAGATTTCCAACAAATTTTTTTATTAAAACAAATTAATATAACACAAAAAATAAGAAAAGTATAGGGTGTTAAAAAAAACAAATGTATGACTGGAAACTGGATGACAATTTGATTTAACGATGTAAAGCCTTCTTTTCAAATGTAGGTAGGTACACAATTTTACTTTTATATTAGATATATTAATAATAATAATAAAAAATAACCCAAAAAAAAATTGTGAAAGATTTTATCAAACAAAGATTCACTGCCATTGGACAAAATTTCATTTAAATGTAAATTACACTCTGATGGGTTTGTTATAAATTTTCTGAGACATCTGTGTAGCAAAAAGTAGGATAAACCTGGTTAAGACGGTCCACTGGGATTTTTGTAACATTAAATATTCTCAAATTAGTTGCCTATACAAAGTGCGCCAGAACTTGCGCCCAGAGAAGCTGTATCCGAAATTGTAATTTTGTTTAATGTTATTTGTGGCTTTTATTGGAAAAATTTTTGTACCTTTACTAAATAATTATAAAGAAAACATATACAAGATCATCAGTATCATTGGATAGACTCAAAAAATTTACAATATCAAAATTTTTTGACAGATAAATTTTTTTAAACATTTTTTTCCGTGTCCCTAGTAGGTACCTTATAGTATTTGAAATTTTCCTCTGGGGCGCAAGTTCTGACACACCTATACATAAAATTATTATTTTTATTAAAAAAAAAAGAAAATTATTAGAAGAATACCATAAAATAAAAAATGGGTTTCAATAAAGAAAAACATTTTTCTATACATTACGATTACTTAGCACCCTGTATATTCATAATAATATTGAAAGAAATTTTGATAACCTGATAGTTAATACGACGTAATCGAACAAAAATACACAACAAAAAAATAATATAATATCTATACCTACTACATTGATAGAGTCACTACCCTCCTAAGCACTCTGTAGAATAGATAAAACAACCTGTATAAAAATTAAGGTAAGTCGGGGAAAAGTGAACCACTTTTTGAAAAATATGATTTAAATTTATAATCTTTATTTCAATTTAAATCACTGGTTTTGTCATTTTAAGACTACTTAAAAAAAATTAAATGTGTGTATGTATTAAAAAAATATGTATGTATTCTGATGTAGTAAGTATACTACTTCTCTATGTGGGTACGAGGATTAAAAAATACATTTATCGATTTATAAATATGTAGATTATATGTAATTTCGTTTTAGATCACAATTTTTTCAAGTAATCTTACTACGTATAACTTGAAGCTCCCGCTGGTCCATCTCTCCCGAACTTACCCTATTTTGCCCCATGTTGAAATAAAGGTTCATTTTCGAATGATTTATTGAATGAGAATTAAAAAACATAGAATTATATTTTTAAATACTTATGAAATTGTTGCAATGGGTCCAAATACGCGATCCGTTAGGTCTTGAGATCCAAGCCCGCCATGGCTCATGCTCGCACGCTTTTCTTCATGTGTGATTATTTATCGTTCACGTTCGGTTGACAACATCCTCATGTGATGATAGGTTCGGACTCAATGTTGCAATGAAGGTGGATGAAACGGAGTACCGAATAAGCGGTTAGGAGGTAATGAGACGGTGTCGATTCTACCGTCCACTGGGCAGATATCTGTAATGACAGCATCGTACGGCACGCGTCCATCGAGGAGAAACGCGGAAGTCGACCAACATCCAACTTGTCATTAACTTGGATCATCATATCGCAACAGCTAATGCCACTTTTGGTAACTCAGGAAGAGGGCCGGACGATTTCGTCAACTGCTGACGCGTTTTCGATCCGATTACAGGATGCTGTAATTTATTTATGGACACAATGTTCGCTATTTATTGCTTACTAAACACTGGATTTTATAAGTCAGCATTATCATGCGATTATGCAAATTTGTTGATTGAAATCATCTAAGACTGCTGTTACATCAGGTTTTATGTGCAACTACACAAGCCGAATACTGAGCCGAAAAATTACTTCTTTTCTTCTCCTTCTCTTCTTTCTTATTTTAATATTTACTATACTATTTAAAGAAATTTAAATAAAACAATTTTTTGACGTGTTTGCATGTACTAAAATCC